GGAACAACAAAAATAAAATATGCTAGGCAATTTCAAGATTATTTTGATTTAATAGTGTGTTTTAAGCCATGCCATAATAAATATTTTGGAAAATCTAATAAGGTTATGTTTCTTGGATATGTAGATTGAAATTTTCAAACAAATTTGGAAAGCTTTCTATCATTATTTCTTTAAATATTTTATCTGCTCCTTTCTATGACTCCTCTCCTTCTGGTACTCTCATTGTAACATGCTGGGGAGCTTAATAGTGTCCCACATTTATCAGAAACTTTGTTTATTTTTCTTTATTCCTCTTTTTCTCTGTGTTCTTTGGATTGTGTAATCTCTGTACATCTATCTAATGTCATCAAATGCTTTCTTCTGCCAGAAGAAATCTACTGGTGAGCACTCCAATGAATTTATTTTTGATTGTATGTAATTTTCAACTCCAGAATTTACATCTGGTTCTTTTTTATAATTTCTGTCTCTGTTTTTGATATTACTTATTTGATATATCATCATCATACTTTTTTAACTTTAATCAGTGTTTCTTTTAGTGTTTTTGAGCATATTTATAATGACTATTTTTTTTTTGAGAGAGAGAGAGAAAGAGAGAGAGAGCGCTCATGCACATGAGCAGAGGAAGGTCTGAGGGAGAGGGAGAGAGAGATTCTTAAGCAGACTCCATGCCCAATGCAGAGCCTGACAGGGGGCTGCATCCAACACGACCATGAGATCATGTCCTGAGCTGAAATCAAGAGTTAGATGCTTAACCAACTGAGCCACCCAGGCCTCCCTAATGAGTACTTTTAGTGAGTAATGAGTACTCTAATGAGTACTTTTTAAATCTGTTAAATTTGACATTCGATAAATCAGACAGAGAAAGACAAATGATTTCACTTACACGTGGAATTGAAAAACAAAACAAATAAACAAAAACAGACTCTTAAATACAGAGATCAAATTGATGTTTGCCAGAGGGGAGAAATGGGGGGGGGCAGATAGTTGATATAGATAAAGGGGATTAAGAGGTACAAACTTCCAGTTATAAATAAGTCATGGAGATGAAAAGTGCAGCATAGGGAATATAATCAATAATACTATAATAGCATTATTTGGTGATAGATAGTGATTAGATTTATTGTGATGATTATATTTATTTTGTATAGAATTATTGAATCACTATGTTATACATGGGAAACTAATACCATATTGTATGTTAATTAGACTTCAATTAAAAAGAAATATGGCACACTTGAATGTTCTCACGGGCGCTTTCCATAATCTGTTGTGTTTTTTTTTTCCCTAGTATATGGGTTATTCTTTTCCACATTTTTGCTGGGCTCCAGTATTTGTGTGTGTGTGTGTGTGTGTGTGTGTGTGTGTGACATTTTAAATAATACATTGGAACAATTCTAGCACTTTCTTTCTCTTCCCAGGCCTTAATATTACTATCTTGCTTGCTTGTCTCTTTGTTAACTGTCCGAATTATTTTCCTAAATCTATCTTCCCCGCAACCTCAGGGCCCCACCACACACCCAATGTGAAGCCTCGGATTTGCTCTTCAGGGTACACCGACTTGTCCACAGTTACCCTAGGATGATGGTGCTTATGGTGGAGCACTCTCTTTTCCTAATCACACACAGTTGTTAGCTCCACTAAATTGCTAACTAGTTGCTCGGTTGTTTTCAATAGTTCCTTGAGAGGTAAATTCCTTTACAGACTAATCCAATCAAATTTAGACTCCTTTCAAGGGATAGTTCCTGAGGTCTGTGACTGATATTTGACTCGAGAGTTCTTCCCAGCTGGCACTGTCCTCATTTGTCTCCACCAAAATGAGGACAACTCCCCAGTAGCCTTTGTCACCAATGAATCTATAGGTCTCCTCCCAATTGCCTTTCACCATGACTTTTACTGCTTTTCAGAGCGCTCTTAGGCTTGAACTTCTCTGTACTTCATTGAAATTGCAATCAATTTCTTGGGGATCAGAGATGAGATTAGAGCTCTGTTCTCTGGGCTGCTCGCCCTGTGGGCAAAATATCTGACCCACTGGTCTTGTCTTGGAGGTAGGGACAATGACCAGCTTCTTTATGAGTGAAACTCCACATTGAGTTACTGCGTGTTCACTTGATACAAGGTGGGCAACGGTCCCAGGTTGCCTCTTCCTGCCACTCTTACCGAGGAATGCCCACCTTAAGATCCCACTCTTTGAATATCCTTGTAATTCTTCGGTAAATCCACAACAGCTCTGCAAAATACAGTTAAAATTTTTAAATATACATCAAAAAATGACCATCTTCAGTAAATTTCCATAAATGAATTTTTGGACCACATCTATAAGTGAATTGTCCTAGAAAGTGTATTTGGGAGAGTGGGGAAAGTAACATTTATATGGAGGAAAACCCAAACCAAAACAAAACAAAGCATGTGTATCTTTACCAATTTTTTCTGGGAACTATTTCAGTCTGGATATGCATTTTTGCTTTTATGCTAGGCAGATAATCAATAATCTCTGACTAGAATATTAAAAACATTGTTTCAGAATCAACATTAGTTCTTATCTTTCCAATGTATTTATTCTCTTTCTTTTTTCATTTGCTTTATGGGTAAAACAAAGTTCCATATTTGTATAGGGACCTACTTGCAATCTTGTTTCCCAGCTGTGAAATAATTTTCACACATTTATCATGCCTAGAGAGGAGGTAGGAAGACTTTTAGAAAGGACACTAAACAAATGCATCTGTGAACTTCTAAAACCATTGTGAGAAAAGAGAGAAACAGGTTTTCTGGGTTTTCACAAATAGTAGTTGTGGCTCAGAGAGGGAGAAGGACCACAGGCATGTTGCTTTATTAGCAGGGCACAGGTCTGTTTTCCAAGGATAAGCTCTTATTCATGAGTAGTATGGGTATTTTTGGGAAGAATATTCTAGGCTCCTTTAATGATTGAACTAATCTACCATTTATGACACTTTCTTGTTCATAGAAACACTGAAATTTAATGGTTGAGATGGCTGTTTTGCTTACATTTGCTCATATTAATCTAAAGAGTAAATCTGAAGATTCTTCCAGGGACACCTGGGTGGCTTACTGGATTAAGCATCTGACTTCGGTTCAGGTCATGATGTCTTCCTGGTTTATGGGTTCCACCTCCAGCTGGGGCTCTGTGCTGACAGCCCAGAACCTGGAGCTTGCTTTGGATTCAGGGTCTTGCTCTCTATCTGCCCCTCCCCCATGTATGCTCTTTCTCTCTCAAAAATAAATAAACATTAAAAAAAAAGATTCTTCCAAAAACACATCTTACAGAAGTCAAAAAAAGGTTTGATTATTAAGTAATGGTTCCCCTGTTTTCTTTAAAGTGGTCCCATCATATTTTTCAATGAAGTTACCGCAAAGGAAACAAAGTACATATTTAAAAGATGTTTTTACTATTTTGTTTTTGTGGCTATTGCCTTTCTGACACTTATTTTTTGAATATTAGGTGCTTACATGTGCATACAGGAGTGTTATTACTTTTGTGAAGGCTGTGCAGGAATCTGAAGGCATTTCGCCCTTCTAAAAATAAACTGTCAATTTGAAAAGTTTTAGAATTTAAAAAATGCTTTGCAATTTCCGAAGTCATTTTTCCTCCCTAAAATCTCCATTTGAACTTTATAACAGCAGCAGCATGAGAACTGGTTTGGAAGATATTATATTATACTCCCACAGTCGAAGAATTCTGGTCTCCAAAAGGTTTTAAAGGTCATTTAATCTAATCATTTCGTCATATTTTTTAAGGCCATTTTTTTCACTTTCATTTGAAAATAGTACCAGACTACAAAAGTGGCAAAAGTAAAAAAAAAAAAAAAATTATTGTAAAGTAAAACTTTTTATTCAGCTTCCACAAATAAAAAACATACAACCATAGTACAATTTCAAAACTGGGAAATTAAATGTGATTTAATACTGTCAAGTGATTTGTAGACCTGATTCAAATTTTGCCAGTTGATTCACTAATGTCCTTTTCCTGGTCTAGGAACCAATCCAGGATCCTGCCATTTGTTTTCTTGTCTCCTAAATTTCCTTTAACTGGGGGCAGTTCTTCAATTTCTTTGTCCTTCCGGATGATGACATTTTTAATTCTATTGGTCCTTTATTTTGTGGAATGTTCTCCATTTGCAACCCTTTCATTTTCAAGTTTAAGCAACCAAGCTGATGATTCCTGAGATATCACAGCAAATTAGTGGCAGATTTATAAACAAATATAAGGCTGCAAATTGTATGAAAATTTATCCCAAGATTTCAGAAGGCTTGTCTCTTACTAGAAGGGTAAAGACTGATACAAGGAACCGGTGAACCTACTCAACTATTATAACAGGTGCAATCAATACATGTCTCTAGTATATTCCTGATTTCCTATTAAATCTTGGATTTTGTGCTAAGCCACGGGATTGTAATAGTTTGCAAAAGCCAAAATGGTCCCACGCCCACAGTCTGAGCTCCTTTTTTTGTTTCACCCAGGACTTTGTCTTGTCCTAAAGAAGGTGGAAGGGTATGTTCACAAAACATTTAGAACATGGCTAGTAGCAAAGTGCTCTTTCAAATGAGTTATGCAAAAAGACTGGGTTTAGAATGAATGTTATACAAGATCACGAAAAGGGAGCAAAGCATGGCGAGTGATGGAGAAACCTCTAGATACACATACCATCATTGGAGAGATAGATGATGGAATATCTATCTATCTATCGTCACACATACAACCGCACACCATTCCCTCTACTGTCCCTCTGGCGACCGTCCCAGGCCAAGATACATTGCCTGTGCTCTGGGTTAGATCAAGGTTCCAAATGACAGAGACTAAAGGGAAAGACAAGGAATCCCTCAATCCCTCTCCAGCCAAAGACGCTGGTAAGAGTCCTGGCTGCAGAGGAAGTCTGGACTCCAGGAGGAGAGGACACAAGGGGAACAAAGGGAAGGGCGGAGAGCAGGAGGGGAGGGTCCCAGGCGCTCCCAGCCCGCTCCCAGCCGTGGGGAGAGCAGGGCGCGGACTTGGAGTCCCCGCCACTCAGAGACCGCGCCTGCCGGGGTCGCCAGACTCGGGCTCCCGCCCACGTGGCGCGCGGGATTCAACGCGCGACGCCGCCTCCGCCCCGCCCGCCCCCTCCTCGGCCCAACTCGGACGCAGTTGGGGTCCTGAGTGCCCGCCCCCCACGGCCGGCCGGCGGAGGGCCCCGCGCCGCTGCCTCCGCTCCGGCCCGCTCTCCGCTGCTCTCAGCTCCCGCGACGGGAAAAGTGGGCGCCGGCGGCGGCTCCCCCGCCCGGGTAGCGCGCTCCTCACCGGCGCGGGGCTGTGGGTCCTCGGCGCCCAGGGCTCCTGCGGCGGCGGCGCCGGAGGTGTCCCGCGGTCCCAGGGCCCCGCCCGGGAGACGCCCTCGCCCGAAGCCGCGAGGCCGGGCTGCGGCCACTCCCTCCCCTCCCGGAGAGTGGCGGGCTTTGCGCGGGGAGCCGGAGTCGAGCTGCCGAGAAAGCCCCGGGGGACTTTGCTCAGCGGGACCCTGGAACTCTTCTGCTAGAGTAACCGAGAGCTACGGGCTGCTGCGGGGCTGGAGGAGCTGAGCTGACGATCCGCACGTTGGCGGTGACCGGGTCTCCGCACACAAAGGCCACTCCACCTGGGTGACCACCACCGCGTCTTGAGTCCCGAAGTGGCGGCGAGGCGGTCGGAGAGGTGAGGGGTGAGGGGGGTAAGCGCTAAAGTGTGTTGGTGCGTCGGGTGGGGAGGGGCCTATTAGGCTTCTGACTTGGGAACTGTGCAGAAAGAAGCCACTGCAGAAAGAAGCCACTGCCGGACTCCTGCCAGGAGCTGTATCACCTCCAAAATGCTTCCATTCCCCCGGGCCCTCCATCTTCTCCAAGCCCCAACCCTGCAAGAAACTTCTGAGTTAGCAGGTAAATCCTACACTCTGTCACCATGGTCTGAAGCCCAGACAAAGAGTGGATTTGTTATTAAGTACCTGGGATGTGGGGGTGAGAGGGTTAACTTTTAGGGCAGTCTGACATTCTCAGGAAGGATTTCCCTTGTACTTGCTGCAAACTTACTCATGGCTCCAGTAAGTCCAAGATGAATTATTAGTAAGGGAATTGAAAGTGGAGAACTGCAGTGACAGGCATTGTCCTTTGGTGCAGTCCCTCCCTCTGGGCATTCAGGAGATAGATGTAAGTTAGAGAGTCTGCACGACCTTCTAAGAGCGTGTGTGTGTGTGTGTGTGTGTGTGTGTGTGTGTGTGTGTGTTTAGAGCTGGGGCTTTTGCAGCTGGAGAATAGTTGATTGTTTTCCAGTGTGATCCAGTGCTAGAAACATCAGTACACCAGTGACAGCAGCCCCCTGTCCTCCCCCACTGTGTGCCCTCCTTTGGCAAAGAGCATACATAAAGGATTGACCCTTCTTTATGAGGTGAAGGGATCCATAGATCACAGGAGGCTGACACTGGGGACAGTATGTGTGGTGGGCTTGGGATGAAAGCCAGTGACTTTTGGCCATGTCAGAGGACGTTTTAGAATTTGGGGAAGAAATCTGCCGCTCCTCACTGTCAGAGAGTCAATTTAAAGTGAACCTGGAAACTCGTGGGCAGAGAAGACAACAGCTTTGGTGTTCATGATTGAAGACCATTAACAAAGTGTGTGAAAGTTTTCTAGGCTGCCATCAAGCAGACATTGAGAACATTAGGAACAAGGGCACACCAAAAATAAACATAAGTGAGTGGTGGATTTAATCAAGAAACAGAGAGATTGCTCTTTGAAATACGCACAGATTATCCTGGTTAGCACCTACTACTGTGTTTTCGTTTGTAGAGTAATTACCAGAAGCCTTCCCAGAGACGTGGTACTTTAGTTAGGCACATTGTGAGCTTCTGAAATGGAAGTTTCGAGTATTGTAAGATAAAATCTGTTCATTAGGAATTCTATGGGACATGGGTTTAGAATGTACTGATGCAGGGGCCTCTGGGTGGCTCAGTTGGTTAAGCGTCCCACTCTTGGTTTCCACTCAGAATATGATCTCATGGTTCGTGAGTTCAAGCCCCACATTGGGTTCTGTGCTGGCAGCATGGAGCCTGCTTGGGATTCTCTCTCTCTCTGCCCCTCCCTGGCTCACACCCTCTTCTCTTTCAAAAAATAAACGTTAAACATTTTTTAAAAATGTATTGATGCAGATCACAGTAACAACATTTTGTATTTCATAATTCTGTCCTGAGAGCATCCAGAATACCCTAGTGTGTAGCCTTGAGGACACAGGTTCCGGTTCATATGTTGCTCATATACACGTTTACTTCAACAGTTGCAGCAGAGATAATTTCCATGGAGCTCCTGGAGACCTTTGCTCTCCCTGCCTTCTTTAACAATCGCACATCCTTAGTATCATTACCACTAAAATTATTCATTCTGCTTAAATTTGAAATTGTTAAAACTTTCTTCCTTCTTCAAGTAGTTAACTCAGAATTTCTGGCTGTAAAGGGAAGTTTCAAACACATCCAGTACGAAGTAAAGAACTTTGGTCTAAAAATACATATTGTTATCCAAGCTGCAAATTATCCCTTACCTTGTCCTGAAAGATTTCAAACAGAATGAGAGAGGGGGAAAAAGCATCTTTGGCAAACCAGATACTTGTGTATTTAAGGACTTACTAAGATGTATTGCCTGTGTGTGTGTGTGTGTGTGTGTGTGTGTGTGTGTGTGTTGCAAGCATGGCCAGATGCTGATGATTACAAGTCATATAGGGACAATGTTTTTCAAATCTTGGATGGGTTATGTGCAGGAAGGAAGTCTACTAAAGTTACTTATTGTAGTAAGTAATAGGTATGGTGGCTGTCAATGTTTGAGCACTCAAAGTCTGCTAACTCGTGAGTTTTCTCTTGATTGAAGTCTGTCATTTCTTAATCTTAACCCCCACACACCCCATACCTTCGTGCTCTCTCTCTCACTCTCTATCTCTCTGTCCTCAGGAGCAGAGGTAATAATCCGTTTCATCTAGCCAGATATATCTGTTTCAGCATCTTGGGGGAGATAAACTTATTATTTTTGTGAATTGGAGTGCGTAGAATCAGAAGTAACCTCTCAAATGGAGGCAACTTGGTGAAATGAAAAACGGGAGATTTGAATTCTAACCCTATTTATTTGTCACGTACCTTGGGCAAGTTGACACAATCTGACTTTCGATTTCTCATCTGTAAAGCAAGGTCAGTGCCAATCAGGATTAATCGACAGAATGACACATCTTGACGCACATGAAAGGGCATTGTTGTTGTCAAGTCCTAAACATGTGTGTCGCTGCTACTTCCAACACTTTTGTTTCTCTCAGATCATTAAAGGGAACAACAGTTCATCAACCCCAAATATGAAAACAAAATCAGAAGGTCATGATTTGCCACTTTGATTTCCTCCCCCCAGAAAGAAGTGGGTCATAGGTGTCACACATCCTCTGGATCTGTCTCTTCGATCTTTAGCTAAAAGCCGTAGAAAGACTAATGGTTATACTAACACCTGAATCAAAGGTATGGTGATTATAGACTGCCCACATAACTTTCCAAAAATTCTGAATGGTTTTCTTACCTCCTTTTCCTCTTCTTCCTGTCTACTTTCTGTGCATTTTGCTGATGCTCTTGGGACAGCCATTTGAGGATGTACCTTTTGCCTTGCACGTGATCAGTCCTTTCTTTATTATGTATATGTGTGTGTCTGTGTGTGTGCGCACACGCACGTATGAGACAGAGAGAGGGGGACTGAGAGAGTGAGTTCAGAGGAATTTTCAAGATTTTGAGCCATTATTTAAATTCAGGTATTGACATTTGCAGCCTTGGCATACAGGCAAGACTTTTTTGATGAGAACCATGGCAAGTTTTGGACCAAATGAGGGAATACTGTAGCATGCAAGATGCCGAACGGATCATTTGTCAGGAGCAGGAACGTGTTGCTTCTACACAACTTATTTTATACATGATCTAACTTTATATGATTCTGTTCACTGCCTGGTGGGGTGTGTTGTGTGTATTATTCTTTGTTCCACCGAGTTTCAAAATACTAACTAGCACTAGTTCATTAATCCCGATGAAATTCTTGGTAAGTATGTGGTAAGCATTAATATCTTTTCCTCACATTTTTATGCTGAATATAATTGTATGTTTCAGTTTCTTACCCCCATCTTTTTCTCACTGGCAACATTGCTCAGACAGTCCTCTGCATACATAACTTATGCCATTATGATGATATTAATGTTGCATTTATCAAATTGCATGACCATATGGTTTTTTGACATGTATGTCTTCTCCTTCAGCTGTTTTTAGACCTGACATGTATCAACACAGCCTTGGCAATTAAACCAGGACAGTATTTTTTTTTGAAAATGCATTATATTCATCATTTAAAAAAATTCACAAATTTTGTGAGGCTTAAATGATCACTTATGTTACACCAACTAGGAAACCATGGTTCAGAAAGAATAAGTCACATGTTCAGGCTCTTACGTGAGTGTCAGGGACAGAGCACAATTTGGAAACTTTTTTGATCTGACTCCTAAATTAATGCCTGTCTTGTGGATTTTAATGTAGGCCATAGAAATCCGAGGCTGTTAAGATCTGTTTGTAAAATTATGCGTCATGAGTTAACTTCAGAGGAGTTCAGGAAGAGGCACATCCTGGTTATGGATGCTCCATCTTGAGAAAAAGGAATGCTTTTAATACATACCTGGCAAATTTCATTCCTTAGTTCCAATAGTGATTACATTGTTCTCATACTGTCCTCTTCATCTTTAAAGTTTATTTTTTGATTTATTTTGAGAGACAAACCAAGCAAGGAGGGGTGAGGCAGAGATAAAGGGAAATAAGAGAATCCCAAACAGGCTGACATGGGGCTCAAACCAACAAACCCGGAGATTGTGACCTGAGCCGAAACCAAGAGGCAAACACTCAACAGACTAAACCACCCAGGTGTCCCTTCTCTTCATCTTCAGAGAGCCTTAAAAGTCAACACTTGAGTGATTCACTGAGCACAAGTTCATAGGAAAATTTTGAGTTCTAGTCTTAGTTCATTCATTTCTGAATCAATAAGAAATCTGATTTTAGCTGGACATTGGCTGTGAAAACCAGGTTTGGTGATCATTTGTATAAGATTTTTTTTTTTCAGTTGACATTTTAAATTTTAGTAGAATTGACTTTCTTTAACAAAGTTGTAGTTTTTCTTTTCTGATCAGGGCTCTGGCCCTAATTATGAAGGCTAGTGCATTGTGACATGGAAAGCAAGACGCTGTAGAGGAAGAAAGTATAAGATGTGGAGGCAGATGGACCGGTTTGAATCTCCTCTCTAGGAATCTAGACTGTGCTTTCTGCTTTCTGATGACACATAGTCAGCTTTTTCTCTGGAGCTCCACCCAGGTAAGAGGCAATGTTTTAGTGTCTTCCATTTGAGGGTATTGAGCTCTTTGTACTTGTGAGTAAAGTTTTGGGGAAACAAGGATGATACATTGATCTGTGTCCTTGACAGTGAGCAAACCTTCTATTTCACATGATAGGAAATACCCATCTCCCTTTTATTCACATACACATATGTGTACAGAAATTCCTGAAATTTGAAACCCACTATTTAAATCAGGTACTGGTTTTCCTAGTAAGACATAAAGACATACTAGTTTGTTTTATATCACTTTTGTGTTGGCAGGCATGCAATCTTTAGCTACAAAACGCGTAATCTGAGAATAGGAATTAAGCTTCTTTTTGGAATTTGCTTGTACCTTCTATATCATTAAATATTGACTATAGGGGAGGTGGGTTGGAGGATGTGTTAAATGGGTGATGGGGATTAAGGATGAGCACCAGGTGTTGTATGGAAGTGATGAATCACTATATTGTATACCTGAAACTAACATTACACTGTCTGTTAACTAACTGGAATTTAAATAAAAGCTTTTTTAAAAATTGACCCTGGGGATGATTCACATCTTTATCTTAAAAAAATATATATGAATAGAATAGAATAGAATTGGACACAAAACCGTAGAATTAGGCACAAAAGTATTTAGAATGTTTTCTTATTTGTATCAGTAATGGCTAATATGTAAGGAATACTATGGGCCAGGGACAACACTAACAACATTATGCAAATAGTCTTACTAACTTTTCATTCTACAGGTATTTGCTGAGCACCTGGTATGTTCAGGATACTGATAAAGAAGTGTGTGCGAGATGGTGTAGAAAGTCATGAGCCTTTATACGAGACTGTAGAAGAAGCAGGTCATCTGATGGCAGGACTGCTAGGGAAGTAAAGGTGAGACGGGGCCTTCTGGCTGGAGTGGTTATGATGGCTTGTGACAAGGGTGATACTTAAATTGGATCATGAGTAGTAGTGAGAACTTTAAAACGGGAGTTGTGAGAGAGCCGTAGCTCAGGATAGGCAAAAGAACTGAAGAGCAAATGTGGAGAGGACAGATTAAATTTCCTTAATCTACAATACCAGTTTTGAAGGAATATGGGTATATTGCATGCCCAATGAGAAATTGAAAATCGGTCTCCCCCAAAACAAAAATAAAAACAGAAACAAACCCATGCCATCCCTTAGAGATACGGTTGCCCTTATTTGCACATTTACATCTCATCTTGAATTATCATTGCTTTTTTTTTTATCCTGACTTTTTCCTCAAACACAGTTTTCAAAACAGAGACTGTCGTATTTAGTAAACTCTGTCAGAGACATCCTGAGCCAGGCTACCCAACTGCCACTTTGCTTTATGTCTTTAAATGTATATGCAAATTCCATGACTTTCCTCTCTGTGTATGTTGACTATTGTCCCATACCTCTCAAAAGTATGAAGAATGCACGTGTGTCTCCAAAGGCAAACTGGCCACATGTCATCCCTACGATGGCCAGAGGTGATGGCCTGGAAGAGCTGTGGCCAGTGAGGAGGGACCAGATTCCTTGGAAGATGATGGCCACTGCAGAGTGCACACTCCACTCAGATCAGGTGCGTGTGTAGGAGAGGAAGAAGTTTCCTTCTTTCCTCCAACGTGCTTCCAATTGGTTTAGGAATTAAATTGACATGAGGCAGATTAACAGGATAAAAAAAATAACACAGTGCACACAGAGGCACAGTAATGATATTGAGACTTCAAGAAATGACCGGGGCAGTTTTTATACTTTCTCGACAAAGTGACAATAAATCTGTGAGGAAGTGACAGGAAAAGAAAATGTAACTATGGGAGCTGCAGTTAGTAAAGAATTCTAAACAGAATTTGGGCTGGGATGGTAAAATAGTAAAAAAGTAACAAGGGTTGTGTTTCAAACCTCCTTGGCTCAAATTTCCTATCTCTGGTGATAGAGATTCTCTTTACCTCCCATTCACATTGGAGATTTCTTGCTTTCTGGAGACTAATGCAGGTGTTGGGGTGGGGGTGGTGGCAGTCAGAGTGCTCTTTTAACCCTGGTTGTCTCTCAGATAACTTTTATTTAAAATAATATGTCAATGTAGCACATTTGGGAGCAGCTGGCTGTTGGCCCCTACAGATGCAATAGTTGAAGCTTGGCAAGACACAAAGGTGAAATCTTACTACGTGAGGTTATACTGAAAGAATAGGGCTTACTCTAAAATCCGGGTAGGAATAAAAGGACCTGAATACTCTTGTAGGAAATCCTACCTGTACTTTTACATGTACATCAAAGCTGTCATGTCTCTGTTTCTGCTGAGATCTACTGAATATGTTTATACTACCTTATATCAGTAATGTGCCTTTTACTGTTCAAAATGCTTCGCTTTGGAAGAATTTTGTCATATACTTCAGTTTATTATCATCATAGTCCTCAGAGATGAGAAGGACAGGTATTATTGCCTACATGTTGTGGGAAATGAAGCTGAGGGATGGCTGGTTGAGCAGAGATTTACATGCCAGGTGTTGGAAGAAGGGGGGCTAGAATGTAGGACACGGAATTCCATGGATACCTGGGCTTGCTCAGGCTTTTTTGCCATAGGTTAAGGAGTGAGTTATGTTTTGCCTGAAGCCTGCATTCCTGCCCACTGGGGACCACCAGTGGGCACAGGGTTCCTGGAGTCCAGGAGAACCGATAAAAGTGATATGTGCTGGGCTTTAGAGCAAGTTAGGTGGTTGAGGGTGTTTGAGGGGTCATCATTAGCCTCTACAAAGTGACCATAAAAGGTGCCAATAAGATTTACTTCAAGTCAGGTGCAATTGCCTAATGATACAAGTGTTATTTTTTATGCTGACAATTGTACATCAGACATCAATGGCTTCTTTTGCTCTTCTTGTATCTGATTGAGGCTGGCTGTTGGAGACAAGGCTGAGGGGAGGTTGTTGAACATGAGAACATCTCTGTTCTACCCAGATACGCTGTTTACATGACATAACAGAAGCTGACTTTTAACAATGGTAGTAAAAGTCACCATGTCTTTTGAGCACATTGCAGAACATCACTGTTATTTAATTTAATCCTTACAACAACCCTGTGAAATAGGCATTATCCCCGTTCTACCATTGTGGAAAGTGAGGCTCAGAGTGTTACTAACTGGGCTCCTTGGGAGTTACTACAGAACTACCGAACTCCTTGTAGTGTAGTACAGAACAAATGGGAGTTCCAGGCAAGGCTTTTATTGGGAACTGTGCTCAAGCACAAGGGTGACAGAACAAAGGAGAGGATCCTTCAGGCTGGCTCTCAGAGCAGAGGCTAAGGAAAGTTGCTAGAGGCTGGTGGGAAAGAAGTGACATCCAAGCATGTAGAGTGGGGAGAGGTACAGGAGGTCGGCATACAGGTGCAGTGGGCAGGACATGCTTCATCATGCACTGCATGTCTTATTAAATCTTGTTAAATCTTGTTAAATCTCCACCTTTGGGTGTGATTTTTTAGTGTTATAATGAGGGAGAAAGTTGGTGAAAGGTCAAGTCAGCACTGGGGTCCACCTTGGCACAGACTGGTTTGGTTCAGTCTTCACCAGTCTTCCTGGTTGAGTTCCTTCTTTGGTAAGCATCCTTCTTCCATATTTCTACAAAGTATACTTCTCAGGAGGCATTGGGTTTCAGCTACCAACAAATGCTGAATTTCAAGGTCAGAGTTGAGAGGACCCAAGTCCAGTCCCTGCTGGGTCTTCAAGAGAAAGCTGCCACAAATTACCTAGCTGAAAGGTGGTAAACCAGGGATTCGAGTTTTGTTCTGACTTTGACTCCAGAGTTCTTTCCTCTGTCACACTGCCCTTTTGTATGGGTTCATTTTGAAGTTTCTTAGAAAGGGAATTCATGAGTCAGTTCAAGTGATGGTAGGGAGGACCCTTGGCATGAAGAGAAAAATCTAATTGTGTTCCTTTCCACATTACTCTGTTCTCAGGTTGTTGACCTCTTTTTCTTCTTTTCATGATGTCCACCCATTCCTATGCATGCCACATGTAGCGTCACCAACATACCATCTCCAGGTTGCTCTCCAGGAAGAATGAATACGTGGAAGATGACGTTTGATTCTTCCTGCTGGCTGCTGACCCTAGAGAGACATCATGGACAACATGGACACTCACTTCAACATGAGGCTACTGAGACGTGTTATCAGGTAATTGGCTAGTCATGCTGTGCCCAATACCTGAAGGCTTCCCAATAGCTGAAGGCTTGATGGTTCTAGGCATCTTCCCTAATTAGGATGAGAGAGGACACGGGAACCCAAACTCATGGGTCATCTGACCCAGGGCTTGCCTGTTTGAAAAGTCAAAGGTCTTCTGTTTAATTCTTCACTTCCCACACTCTCTAGGTTAGAATCAAGTCACTTTTGTCACTCTGGTTTGGAAACGCTGCTCTACTCTGTACTCGTCCTGCCCTTCATGTTGCTGGGTAGGTGGAGGGATATTAAACTGGGCAGGCTTGGGTTCTCCAACTGGCAACCAAAACTACATTCAGGGATGGTTCTCAGGCCCCACATTTAAATAAGTGTTTTAAGTAAATTTTGCCTGTAGAATTAGTGTTCATTCTGTTGATGGGTGTAGGGGAGTGAGCAAGGATATTTATGTTTTAATAACCTCCAAATGATTCTTATTCACACTAAAGTTTGACAAACATTTCCCTAGAGGATTCTTCTATAGGCTTCCATGAACTTTCTGAGCTTGCCTACACATTGTGTGTACTTTTTTTTTTTCTGGAAAGAGTTGAGGTCCACAGCTTTCAATAACTTCTCAAAGGAATCTGAATACAGTGGGGTAAGACCCTCTGAAACAGGCTGGTGGACAGATTATAATGTACACAAAAGGTGTCAGGAAGAGGAAAGACTATTTTTCCCTGGGAAGCAGTTTTTCTACTGTTGAAACAAATACTTCATTTTGTAGTTTTGTAATTTTGTAATTACATTCCCATTTTGTAGTGGGGGCCATCTTGGTACCATCTTTCTTGGTTATCCACATAAACATGATTTGTGTTCTAAGGATAAAATACGGTGTACTCTTTTAATTATAACATATTGATCAGTAGCAAAGACTTTGGAAAAGGCTTCTTGGGTTTGAAATACTGCTTTATCATTTATTAGCTCTGTGACTTCATGAAAATAACTTACTCTCTGCCTCTATTTCCTCATATGTGAAAATATTCTTCTTAAAGGGTTCTTCTTAACCCCTCTTAAAGGGTTGTTACAGTTGTAAATGGGTTGGTGAACATATAGCCCTTAACACAGTACCTGGTACATAGTAATAAACATTAGATCTATTATTATTATTATTATTATTATTATTTATTGTTGTTACTGTCATTCAATTAATAACACTCATCATAGTATATCTAACGTCCACAATATCCACTTAGCAGATATGTAATATATATTATCTCTCATCTGTAATTATGCTGTCTCCTTTGTCCATTTTCAGGTCTTAGAGCACTGAGGTCATCTCTCTTTTTTTTTTTTTTAAGAGAGAAAGAGTGCCCACATGCATGCCAGCAAGGGAGAGACAGAGGGAGGGAGGGAGAGAGAGAAAGAGAGAGAGAGAGAGAGGGAGGATCTTAAGCAGGCTCCATACCTAGTGTGGAGCTTGACATGGGCCTCGAGCTCACAACCATGAGATCATAACCTAACCCCAAATCAAGTGTCATCCACTTAGTTGACTGAGCCACCCATGTGTCTCCCCTTTCTTATCTTTAAAAAGTGTTTTTGTTCTTTTTTTCTATATAGCCCTCACAGCATTTATACCTATTCACTGAGAGCGAATACTTGCTAAATTCTTGCTGGGTGATTTTGGATTTTGTTTTTTTTTTTTGTTTTTTTTTGTTTTGTTTTTTTTTGTTTTTTTTTTTTGGACTTTTCTTGGTCCTCAAAAGCAAGAATACCCATGACCTTGTGCATGAATGTAATAAAATATTATACAGCCATTAAATGTGTTGTAGACCTGTAATGTCTTAGCAAATTTACACAGCAAAGCAAAAGCTAAAAACATAAAATTTTAAAATAGTAGGATTTTAAGTTCCATGAAGGTAGAAATCTTTGTCTGTTGTGTATATATCTTAAATATATAACAGGGCATCTGGTATGTAATAGAGGCTCAGTATACTTTGTTGAATAGAATTCTATTTTTGTAAAAGAAATAAAATGTAGAAAAATTTGGAAAAATAGGACTAAAATGTTATTGATTATGGCTTTTTAACTATCATTTAAATTGTGGGGTTTTTGGTGATTCTTCTATGAATATATGCTATTTCTGTTACTTAAAATATTTTATTTTTTAATTAATTTTTTTAAGTTTATTTATTTTGAGACAGAGAGAGAAAGCATGAGTGGGGTAGGGGCAGAGAGAGCGGGAGAGAGAATTCTTAGAAGGCTCTGTGCTATCAGTGTGGAGCTAACAGGGGACTCAGACTCACAAACTGTGAGATCATGACCTAGGCCAAAATCAGGAGTCAGACGTTTAACCAACTGAGTCATCCAGGCACCCCCCAAAATATTTTAAACTTAACAAAAAAGATTATGAACCTTATAAGCTTCATTATGTTTCATTCAAGGAACCTAAATTTGACCCCAGAAAAATCTCTCTCCAATAACTAGTGTTCGTAGATAGTTTTGATGAAAGAGGTGGTAAGGTCACTTTGTGTTTTTTCTTCTTGATTGTGTGATAGCAGACATTCTGGGCCTTTCCTCATCAGTTTCTTTAATTAGAAAAGAGACAGAGTTACTTGCACCAAGACTGTATACAATACACTAGACATTCTGGTGACCTGTAATCTCAACAAAGAAAAAATGTATCTCTTTAAATCTCAGACATTCACTTGATCTTGACATTCATCTACGTGGTTACCTACATGTACATATTCATATACATACACACACACTGCACACCGTTAACCATATGTATACATTGTGAGTCAGGCATTCGTATTCTACCTGAAACTCCTTACCCATGAACGTGAGTCATTAGAAGGTGTCACGTGGCTGTGGAAAAGAACGTGGCTGATTGAATTGTTTAAATCAAAGGCAACCTCAGACAAAGGGAGAGAGAAAGAGAAGGTAGAGAGGGGCTGAGGTAGAGAAAGAGAAAGACCAAAAGACTATGATAGAACCAAAGTGAGAGAGGGAGAAGCAGGAGGGAGGGAGAGGGAGCGGGGCAAAGAGGCTATGTCAGAAGCATGGAGACCAAGAGAACCAAAGAGAGAATCAGAGGCAGAGTGAGAAACTGAGCAAATCCAGTGACAAGGTAGAACTTGTAATTCATCAGTGTTTTGACAAGTTCCAGAGTAGAACTTGATCTTACACTGACTAGAACTTTTCCTACTCATGAGTTTGTTTTTTATTTTAAGTGTTGGTATAAGTTCTAGTTTTCTTTTCATAAGTACCATGTCTTTCTACTAAAAGTCCCGACACATATGCCAGATTGTGGGGCTCAGGGTAACCAGTAGCCACCACAGTCCCCTTTTGAAGGTGTGTGCACGTGACTTCTGACTTTACAAAGAGAAAGGTATTTCGATTTTTTTTTTCCTTTGTCTTGGAACGGGTTTTACTTTTGAAACAGTATTCACCCTAGTGGTTAGATTCTGGCAGCCCACGAAAGCCTAGACTGTGTTTGAGCTTATGTTGTAATTTAGATGTCCAGAGGGTTAATTTTATAGGCACATCTGGGCATACAACTAGAATTAGTAATTTCATTCCTGGTGAAAACTATACATTTGAGGAGATGTGGGGGCCCCAAAGTCTTGGATGTATTTGTTTTCTTTTTTGACTCTGTAGATGCTCAACAAAGGTAGTTGGTAGCTTACCTAACCACATACGCTGTTCTTCTTTATGGCGAAAAACAAAGTGACTTAGGATTTTTTTTCCCTCTTTGAAGAAACTAGCACAGGTCAATCACTGTGCATTTTTGCTGTCTTTAAAAGGTGCATTTTATTTAGCAGGGCTGCATAAAGGGTACACTCAACTAACAATACATTTTATAAGAAACTTTTAACAGTTGTTAATTTGGGACATGAGACCATTGCGTACTATAGGAGCGGGCAGCCTATAAACAAATATATAAACAAATTTGGTTTGCTCCCTGTTTTCCAAAGTAAAGTTTGATTGGAACACCACCACATTCATTTGTTTTTGCATATCATCTTTAGCTGTTTTTTGATGCACCGGCAGATTTGAGTAGCTAGGACAGTGACTGTATGTCACTGCAACACCTAAAATACTTCCGATCTGGCCCTTTGCAAGAAAAGTTTTCTGACTACGGGCCTAGATCATGGGGAGGAATTGTTTATCCATTCCTTTTATATTTGTGCTATTTTGATTTTTTCCCCATGTGTATGTATTCCTTTTGTAATAAAACTATTAAAACATCTTAAATGATTGTATTATTGTTAAGATGTAGCCTTTGCCCCCGAGGTTACATAATTACATAGTAGAGGAAGTAGACAGCTATGTAGACACCAAAAATGCAATTTGTAGAGTGATAAGTGCATAATAAGTATAATGAAGATTGTGCAAAGTCCTGGGAGAACAAAAATGGGTGAGAAATCAACTGTCGTCTGTGGGAGAGGGAAGGAGTGATGGTATAAGGAATTGATATTTGAGTTAGCCTTTAAACAAGATTAGGGATTTGCCAAGCTGGGGACTGTTGGGAGAGGAAAGGATATCTAGAGCCATTTTTCCCTCCCTTTTATGAGACCTAAGTCCACCTTGTGGTTCTTAGTGCATTTAACAGGATGTGATGAATCATTCTTCCTTTTTAGTCTCCTCTATGTTCATGCCATTTGGGACTCAGTCTTTAAACGCCATGTTTGATTTCCTTTTTCCTTTTAAGCATCACATCTCTGACTAGACCAAAGAATCTGACTTCCCAAACAGACTTGCCTTAAATCTTAAACATTTGCTCTCTCATCAATTCACGGTAGAATTTCACTAGCATGTTGTGAGGGAGTTGTGATATTTGTTATGTTGCTCCTTTTATACAAGATGGGAATGGATGATTTGTCATTTTCTTGGCATGTATCCTGAACAATGCACTGTTGGAATCCATTATGACAAGTCCGTTACCATTTTCTCTTAGTGCACTACTGTTACCCTGGGAAATATGATGGTATTCGAAACAGGGAATGATATCATTATTA